CCTTTTGGGCACGAGAATTTGGAGGCAGGTAATTCTCTCCAGTTAATCTTGGCCAAACTGGTATAAGGATTAGGTATAGAGGTTTTCCACTATTTTCCACATGCCTGAGAAAATACTATCACAAGAAATTGGTATTATCTCTGCCTGCAGAAGGATGCTTGCTCCTCTTTCTGCCATTCACCTGATGCTGGAACTATGGCAAACCTTAATCACAGTTCATCTGCCCATCAGAACTGGCAGGCACCCCTCTGTGTTCTCTCCACAACTCTTTGATAGAAAGAACTGGACACAAAATGACCAACATAAACATGGGATAAAAAAAAAGATCGAAACCAATTAATATTAAAATAATTTTAAAATATCTAAAAAAAAAAATCATTCCTATATCCCTAATTGTCCAGTTGAATGCATCATGACCAGAATCAGCAGCTAAATGAATTTTAGTATATTAAATGTTTTCATTACATTCCCAGCTCCTGTTACTGACAGGTTACATAGCTGTTTCAGTTCCACCCAAAGGAGCAGGCTTGTAGCCTGTAGGGCTCAAAAAAAAAAAAACCTTCTTCCCATCCCCTTACACTCCCCCCACTTTTAAATCTCATCATTTCAATTGCCTAAAGGCTGGCTTCAGGTTTCTTCTTACTCATATTATGACCATTTTTCAGCAAGGCAATTGTTTTGCCCCCAAATGCACCACAAACCATCATTGTCCTGGGACAACTGAGAACTCTGCCTGGGAGAAATCAAGCGAGCGTCACAGAAGTCACTGAAACATTTCTCACCTCACAGGCAAAAATGTGGGAGGAAGGGTTTACCTAACACACACTCTGGGAAGTTTTCCAAAATCTTTATTTAAGAAGTGTTTAGTCTGACACGGTTCCCTCCGAAGCCCTGGAGAGATGCTGGAAATATCCACGTGAGGATAACGCATGAATGAAAGAGACGTACTAAAATCCTGTTCCAAACTATGGTTCATGTCACTCTGTTTCAAGGCAGATCTGCACTGCAACCACGGAAACTCCGACCCAGCACTGCTGTCTTCCTCAGCACATTCCTGCTGGATGACACTTTACATGAACATGTGTGAAATTCGTACCAGAAGACTCATCTGTCACACATCTCTCTCCTACACCCAGGATTGTCGTGCACTTTCTTCTGATGTTCTTCTTTTAAAAAAACCAAAAAGCACTGCTGATGACAGCACGCTAGATGAGAAGGATATTTGATCTGATTTAATATGGCAATTGCTTGCTCAGCTATTTTATTAGTTGAGACCATTAGCAACTGCAACCAGTTACTGGAATTAATTTGTTGCCTGAAATTTGCAACCAAGAAGTTGCAGCCCTGCTACTGGTCCATCAGGTCCTTCCCAGCTGTAGTCCAGAAAAGCTTTTTTCTTCAAATTACCAAACTAACAAAGCATCTCCACACAAACAAACAAAAAACCCCAGAAAAAGCAGCTCCTGACTCTTTCCAGTTTTTCTCTGCATCCAACTGCTCCACAGCATGTCCAGCCCAGCCTGACAGCAATCAGGATCACACCTCCCCTGCAGCACTCCAAGTTTCACTGCAATTTCCTTCTGGATCAAATCTTTTGACTGCAACTCCTGGCTCACCCTAGAAGTTCTCAGGATCAATCCAGCCATTATCATCCAATGCATAAATCAAGCTTTCCATGCTTTTGTATAACTTCTTCAGACCTCCAAATAAATCAGGTATGATTCTTGTTTAGACATACAAATTTCCCCTTATTATAAATTCAGATCAGAGCACCATCACGTTGCTCAGGCATGTTGCTCCTGCACTGGGAAAGCAAACAATGTGAGTGGAAGGAGTGGTTCCACCAACAGCCCAATTCCTAAATTTAGTACCCCTGTCTCTTTTCAGTAACAGCTTTTTAAGGGCAAGCTGTGCTATCTCACCAAGATTCTTCACCACACACCCTTCCACCGTGCACAGGGAATCCTGACAGCATTGAGCCCAGCAGTCACCAATAGTCCCAGGGAGTGCTCTGGGGCAGATTTAGAGACATCTGCCCTCTAGATCTTGCCTCTGAGGAAAACTAATGGAGGCAGCACGTCTGGAGAAGCGTAAGAAATACTGATGTCCTCAATCAGGAATCATGAAAGGGAAGAGTAACAGCTCCTTTTGTTGTCTCTTTCCCAACACGGAGTTGTGGTGTCACATCCAACCAAATCCAAAGTTGATATTTTTCCTTCAGAAAGGTAGAGCTCTTATCTCCTCATATCCACTTCATTCTGCATAACCATTTACTCTATGGAGTATTTACCCTCCAAATCAAATCTCAAAAAAAGCAAATCAAATTTTAAAATATCCTTGCTTATTTAAATAATTCCTTTCTATTTTAACCTTTGCATGGCTTTCAGCAAACTGAAAGGAAGAGTCCAGAACAAGGTTGACAAGTTCAGTAGTGAGTGGGATAAAATTGAACAGCAGTGCATCATCTTGTCCCAGGGCCCTGTTTGTATCTTTACTGTTCATCTTTATGATTTCAGCTAATTTTCTAATAAAATATTTCCCTTTCTTCCCTTAAATTAAAATACCAGAGAAATAAACTTTCTACTTTACTATTTCTTAAAAAATGAAATTTACAAAAGTTTAAAACCACACATAAAATCAGCTCAATCTATATAGTCTCATCTCAAAATGTCATCTCTTTCAAAATGTTTAAATGCTAAAACATCGGTTCTGCATATGTAGCGAACAGACTAAAAGAGAATGACATGTCAGCAATCTGTCTGTTATCCAACGTGACAACTCTGTTTCTCACTCAGAATAACCAGTCTCTCAAAAGAGTAATGTACATCACAGATTCTCTCAGTTTTCAGTAGTACACTATCTCCATTTCTCCAGGGACATTATCTTTGAACAACATATCACTCTGCCCTTGGAACCATCAAACTGACATTTGACAAAACTGTGGACGGCTTGCAGGTTAAATTTAAAACTTCATTGAACCTCCCCTTGCACATCTCACTGAGCTCTGGCCTCCCATGGAAACAATTAGGAAGTCCAACATGAGAGCTGGTGGGAAACTTTCTAGCACTGGTCAAGACAATTCACATGGAAAAAATATCCATCTCTTGCTTATCTGCAGGAAGAAAAGTTTGGGGAGTATGAACCTGCTGTAACCAAAAGGTGTGGGATGTCACTGTACTGATGGTTGTACTCAGGATATTTTCATCTTGTACAGGCAGGTGCACATGAAGGCATTATGCCAATATATTTGATTTTCTTGTTTTTCATGAGTATTAATAGCCTACCACGTTTTAAAACCAATGCAGCATTTTCCTAACCATAAAAATCTCCTAGGAGTATGGATGACTAAAATGACAGCTAAGAACATACGGATCAGCAGAAATTATGGAAATTAATAGATCTGTTTCTTAAATTAAGTTTTGACCTTAATGAAGATTCAAGCTGAGAAAACTTAACACTTCACTGAATACCCACAATAAATTCTAATCATACTCTACAACTTCTCTGGGACTCCAGGGATGGAAGTTGGCAGGGTTATGCAGACAGTTTGCTTCAACAAGGTCAGTTGGCTTTTTAGGTCAATAAAACATAACAGAAATTGCACCTCCAACTGCTGAACAAATGTTTCTGCATACCGATCATTGAATTCCAGTGAAATCAACCATAATGACAACCACATAGCATAATACCTTTCTTTAGACTCTCTTGAGCTAGAGAGATTTTCAATCAATGTTGAATATGCTCTGATAGAAAAGCAAAGTGGTCACATTCAGAAAATTTCATCATGGCCAACTCCATAATAAATGCATTAATTTAACTTCTGGAAGAAAGAAAAGTTCTGAAACTTAATTGTTGAAGTATTTTCACAATCTGGGTGCAACAATTATCCCCTCAAGCACATAAAAATATACTTGAAGTTGACAGACAGTAAATTTAGCATTCATCCAATTCTTTACAACAATCAATGAGCCCCAAATTTCAGAAACAAAACTCTTCATCTGGAAAGTAACTTGTGACTGTGACATGCACTAAAGATCATCAGGAGGGAAAAAAAGTCTTGTCATCTTTTTGCAATGAGCCATCTTTAGTTGTGCAGTTTGAAGACATTCCTGTCAGAGACTTCTCCGACATGTCTGAACTGTGAATTGTGCTTGGTCTTGACTCTCCCAAGAGAAAACATCAAAAAGATGTTTTAAGACTTTGCTAACTTACAATTTACAACCACCCATAAGCATGAGAAAGAAAATTAACACCAGGGCCTACTAAGAGAAAAAAAAGTCAACCAGATCCATTTTTGGTTCCAACAAGTACCACAAGGCAAGTAATACTTGAGAAGTTTACTCAGAAGCAGTGTGCAGAGACAAATGCCAGCTAAACTAATCTACAGCCTGGAAGAATTCGAAACACAGACCTGACTAGATGAGGTTACATCCAAACACAGCCTAAAAACACATACAGACAACTCCTGTACAGTTATGTGCTGGTCCAGAACCTGGCCAGCAAAACCAGCTACAAGGTTCTGAACCACTGCAACTCCTCATACTCTGTTTGCAGGCAGTAAAAGGGGCAATGCAAAGTAGTAAGAATAAGTCTCTGATGTTCAGTATAAATCTCTCTGTATACAATTGCCACTGTTCATTCATTACCTGCTGGGTTGGGCTGTCTACCAAAAATTATTCCCAGTGTTAAACTTCCTAAAAAAAGATAACAAAAGCAAAACCAAAAGAAGAAAAAATTTCACAAAAAACAACATATGAATTGAATATGTTGCTAATAACCATTTTTTCTTGCAGGCATTCAAGAAAAAGATTCATTTACTGGAAAGTTTCTGGTCTAGAAATGAAATGACCAAAAACTTCACAATAGGGACAAGCAGAATAAAAACAACAAAATACAAACAGAAGTTAATAATGTGGGATCAAATCAACCAAATAAATGAAGCATCAATGAAAACCTTCATTGTGGAAGGAGGATTAAGTAGGAGAGCAGAAAATACTGACCTGGAAGTCAAGCTGGTTGGAGTAGGGATGAAAGCAGCAGTTTGGAGAAAAACAGATAGGGAGGAAGACAGCAAAAGAGAATAAAGGGAGGAACACATTAGTTCTTCAAAAATATAACAAGCAGATGTTATATTAGCAGATTATTAAAAAGAAAAAACAAAAAGAAAAGGAAAGAGAGGGGAAGGAAAAGCAGGAACTAAAATGAAATTTCTGCAGAGCTACATCCTTCCTGTGCACTGAAGAAAACAAACTTTAAATCAAAAGGGTATCTTGTTATTAGTGGACAGCAGAAAGACATCCATATTTATAACCATCCAAATTCATAAACACACCAAACAGAACAAATAAATTGGATGAATACTGGTAGCACTTTCTGCTGCACAAACATCTTGTCATATTCCACAAAGTCTTTCATGCCAACTGTCATAGACTGGTGACCCTCATTCCTCAACTCTTCCAATTGCAGTCAAAGCAGCTGAACAATTTGGCAACTTCTTCAAAGATAATTAGAAGTTCACAAAGCACTGTAGCTAATAATCAAAGATGAAGATTTGACACCGCACCCCAACCCTGGAAATGCAGCCTTTTCCAATGCTGATAGCAAATTTTTAATTCAGTATGAAGAGAATTAATACTTCAGCACTGAAAATACTCTGATTTTTGACAACTTTATTTGTTAAAAAAATACTTAACACACCTTTTTCTAAAACTAAGTCTAAAATAATCCCCACACAGCTAGACTAGTCCTTAAATCTGTCCCTGACACACAGCATTTTGTGCTTTTAAGAAAAGGAGCATACTCAACAACCATAAACGTACGTTTTTCAAAATGCAATTATTCCACATACTGATGCTTTGTCTCTTGTGCAATGACTTGTCACTGCTGTGTAGACTTACCTTCATGAGAATTCAAATCCAAATTAATTCAGAATTAATTAATTGTAGTCTGAATACTGCAAGAGCTTGAATACACAGCTATAGTGTTATACATCCACTGCATATGAGAAGTGGATAACAGAAACAAAAAACTTCTTGTTTAAGAACAAACAGGTTTTTCTCATAGTTTAATATTTTTAAAAGGACTTTTATATTGTTGCAATCTTTGCTGAGAAGCTACACTTCGCCAAGCAACTGACCAAGTACCTCACACACCACTGGAGAAACATGGATCCAAGGTTTTGCAATCTTCACCATGCTGGCATCACTTGCTCACTCTTTTCAGTCTAAATTTACCAAGGCATAATTTATATTTTATTATATGCCAGTGCTTTTTTACTGAAATCACTCTTCTTTCCCTGCAGTGCTTATCCCTTCCCACGTTTACACAGAACAGGCATCCCTACAGAGCTCTGTTTTGCCAGAGAAACAAAGCACTGTTGCTTAGACTCCTCCTGTGTCATGAGCACTTCATTCCTTCTTACCAGCCCTCACTGCACCTGTTGCCAGCTTTAATTCAACTTCCAGGCAAATGACTGATGATAAGTACACAGCAGAGCTCCACACAGAGTCCTGCCAGCACCTGATGACATTAATACCTTCCTATCCTTACTGCAGATATTTATTCTGACATATCAGGATTCACTTCTCATTATTTAGATCTCTGCTTCATTATTTAGATGGCTCATAATGACACAGCCATAAGCAAATTAACCCAATCTTTCTTTTCCTGAACTGTATCAAGGATTATCCTTAGTTTATATCAGGCAACCTAACTTCACAAACATGCATTTTATGCCACTGTATTTCACTTCATTTTGTGATTCAAACTCTCTACCATATTTCATAAACATACTTCTCATTCTAACACCATTAATAAAAGCTTTAAACAATACACTCCTTCAATCCTGACAGTTCTGTTTCAGCTGCAGCTCCCTCTCCTTGGTGAGGCTCTTGGCATTAAAACTTGAGCTGATCATTACCTTATCCAGTTTCATTTATATTATTAAAAAAATCCCACAAAAATAAAAAACAAAAAACCCTGAACCACATTTCCTTCATCAAGAAAAACAAAGAAAAACAGCAAGCTAAATTTAACAAAAGCACGTTATACATTAAATGTAATATCTTGCATTTGATTTTAAACTTTTTTTAATTATAAACAGATAAATTGTGATAACTTTTATTACAATTTTAAAATAGCTTAAGTATAGAAGAAGGAGTAGCTTCTCCTGTGTAGTTATAAGAAACTGTAAAAAAAAAGTTAATATAGGGAGAGTAATTAAAGAAACAGACCAACATGATTTTATATGAGCAATATTATTAATCTGAAGTGATGACGCTCAGGAGTGTGATAGTTTCTGAGCCAAGAAAAATCACATTAAAATCAAAAGAATTACCATTCATATGAAAATTTCTTCATAACTATTAAAAATGTTCATCTGCCAAGTAGCACACACTTGTAAATGTAACTGCCCATATCTCAAAGCAGATATTTCTACCCCTGAGTATTTGACACTTCGTGTGTCAATACTTTCTGACTAGTAGAACGTTAATATTCTTCTCCTTGTTTTAATTTTTGTTTGAATTTGTAAGTGATAACTTTATTACAACCATTTTTACCTTTCAAACTTATTTATACAAGCACACTTCATTATGTTGAAGAATTCCTATGAATATAACAAATATTGTGAGGATACCACAGCTTGCAATAGTCTAGATCATCACTTCCTTAGAAATCTATGTTGATATATTGTGACAATTTATCTTGTTGCAATTATCTTGCAGTGTAAAGATGTTGGCACAGCAGTGAATGCGGATCCCAACAAGCTGTGAATTAATAAATGCATTTTAATGTCACATTCGTTTTCCTACAGGACCCCAGAGATGCCCTTGCATATGAAGTTTGAGGAAATGTCAAATATATGCTAGAAGTCCATAGCAAAGTTTAACCACTCCATCACATTCTAAGTACAGTACATTCTCTTTAAAAGTCTGTGTTCACTCAGAAGTACCACATTATTTTCTGAGAAGTTATTTCAGGGTCAACACCCTCATCAGCAATAACAGACTAGAAATTGGTGCTCCTAAACTTCACTGCTAAGAGTATAACAAATTTGAAAAGAAAACGAATACAAAAATAGAAAACTCTCACCCATTACAGGATTCTCAGACAATAGGAACATTGTATGCTGACATTGCTGTACCAGTATCTCTGGACCACTTAGTTCCTTGTGTAAGAAGGTTCCAAGATCTATTTAATTACAAAGGGTATAAGACAAATCCCAAAACCCTCCTCTCTCCATTATGGAAAGCCTCAACAACCTTTCCAGACACAAGACAATCACTATCTCATAAACATCAGAAAATATTCTTTTGAAGCAAACAAAGACTATGGGAACACCAAGAAATAGAGCTATTATTAAATATTCATGAGATGGGTTAGAAATACTTACCAATACTTTTCAGGATCTCTGAGAATGACTGATGATGTTCACACTTGAAGAAACGTGGGGGCAGGTCTGATTCACCAGTTACTAAAAAGACAGGCTTGTTCCCCAACATTGTTTTCTGGGGGGTTGTTGTGCCTGTAAATTGCATGTGACCTTTCCTAAACATGCTTGTTTTATGAAAAGTATTAAAAATGTAAACCTTATTTTTTTCCAAAGTCAGCCAACAGGAGATATAGTTCTCAAGTAGCCCTTTTTTGTTCTTTTACACAGCATAACCAATATACTCTAAAAAACCTTACTCTGCTTGTAACCTCTGCTTCTGAAATGCAGATCAAGTAAGCAAAAATGTTACTCAATGTAAGACAATACAAAAATTACCTTTCTAACTCAGCAATTTTCTTATCTTTGTCATTCTTCTCATTCTCTACTTCCTTGAGTATTTCTAGAAGTCTGTCAACCTCAGCCTGAGCTTTGCCACATTCTTCTCTATAGTACGAGGCCTCCTTGTCAAGCTGTTTCATTCTGTCTGCAAATTCTGGATTCATCCGTGCCTCCTCTTCAGCTTCATGAGCCTTCAGAATCAATATTTCAAAAAAGATAAGGGTGACAATAACTTAAATAGCTTTAAAAGCTTTACTTCTTCAGTCTCGGAGTTCAAGTTTACATTAAAAAGGATTATGGGTATTCCTGTCTGATGCATTATTAAAATAAAAAGAAAATTTCTACATAGTCAAATTCTATTGTCCTGAAAGGGGAGGGGATTTATTAAGGGGGGTTTTACATATTAAAGTGACCCCACTTTAAAGGTGCTTTTTCAAATTTAACAAAGACTCACCTTGTAATTCATTAAATTCACATTAAGTTTGGTGAGTTTTGACTATATAGGCAATTTCTTAACAAATTATATCCTCTTTCCCTATACAGAAACACAGACATTGTGTCCATGTATAAATATACAAACACAGATACATATATATACATATTGTATACATCTGTATCACCAGATGCCTCAAATGCAGTTTGATACAAAGAATTTAAAGGAAAGAAACTGTTTTTAATGCAGAGGTGATTTTAAAAGACAAACCAATAAACTAAAGAAACTGATTCCAGCAGACATCCTACCCAATAATCCTTTTTAGCCTACCATTAATACTTAACCTGAAACACCAGAGGAACAAGCCCATTGGTGAAAACAGCACAAACCTGGCAAACACATGCATGGATGGGTGGGAGTTCCACAGACAAGAGAGAGAGCAATGAAAACAACAACAGTGCAGAGCCCAGGCCAGCTCCCATCAAACCTAATGGCAAAAGCCCAATTAACTTCAATGGGAGCACGACCTGGCACCGAGTGCTTTCAACTGTTGGCTGCAATAATCACAGACAGATGGAAACAACGATGCACTGCAATGCTTAGCCTACCCCTTGCTTCCCATTATTCCTAATTGGCATCTTGAAAGAGAAGGCAAGGAAAAAAGAAGTAGTTTAAGGCAGTGCACATTAAACATAGAAAATTCAGGTAACATACAGGATTTTTTACAGAAATTCATGGTACTTAGAACTGAAGGTCCTCCAACTATCTTAGTACGCAGAGAAGACATGGACTTACTTATCCTTCTTAATTTCAGGGAATGGACAATGCAAGCAAGCAATGAAAGAAATGCAGATCAAAATGAAGCATGCATGTTTGGGGAAGAATATAAACTACAGATACTAGAAGGTCCATATTCTTTGCAATGGTTTTCTGCATAAATGAAGAACAAGTCTGAGTTTACTCTAAATACAACAAAAAATTGAAATTAGTAGGGAAAAACTTAGATGGTTTGCATGTAACATATCATTTAAGCATGAGGATAATAAGAAAAAGATAGGAGATTTAAAGTGTTATTTATCCTGCTTGGAGGTTTTTACTCAGAAGAAATAGAAGGCAAGGGAATGACATGAGGAGCCTAATAAACCTACTGGCCTTGCTCTTCAAAAATCTCTGTTTTGGTACATGCTCCAGTCCTGAATTCTATTCCATAGGACTTTTTAAACCCAGAACTCATTTCAAGGCAACACTCAAGGAGTATCTTGATTTTACCATTTCAGTGAGATGTCAGCAACAGATTCCTTTTCAGGTTCATAATCTTCCTTAATAATAAAGTTGGATTTCTTTTATACCAGTTGTTAATTGTATCAAGAAATTTACTTTCAACTAGCCTTGTAATTTTTGAAGTCAATTTAGTATTCAGACTCAAGGCCAGTTATCTGAGAAAACACTTTGATTGTCCATCAACCCTATTACAATACAATACACTTCAGCATTATGTAATTTTGCAAGGAATAATTTAATTCCATAGGTAAATTCACTCTAGAAAAAGAAATGCTACCCAAATCCCACCTTCAAGATACTAAGAAACTTATGCAAAAAGCATATTGTTCCCTATTCTTCAGATTTCTCCTCCTCTCCCAAGGGTAAATCCAGAATTTCACAGCTCCTCTCTAAAGCCTATTGCTCTTTCATGCAACTCCCTGTCACCTTTCTGCCCTTTCCCTTTACTTTGGCACAAAATTCATTATATACCAGCCTTTCTTCCATCATTTCACAGAGAGAAGAAATACCCACCTTCCTTCCTCTAACCAGTCTTCACTTTAGCATTAAGTATCAGCTTCAGCCCAAATTTTTTCCCCATGTACCTCTACCCTTCTCTTACCCCAGAGCAAGAAGCAATGCAGATGAGGGAGAGAAGCCTGTCTCTTTTTTTTGTTTCATTGCCACACTGCACTTGCTACAAGGAAAATGCATAACCGGGCAAGGACACAATAGGAGTACCAGTGCAGAGGTGCCACATCTTCTACTGCTATGGGTATTCCTGACACACAGCAGCTCAGAAATGTACTGAAAAAATTACCTACTGCACAAAGGATAAGCAAATCACCACCTGAAATAATAAATGTATTCCTCACTTTAGCTCTTTAAATCTTTGCTCAACAGAATGTTAAGGAAATCAACATAAAGGTGCAAAAGTATTTTCAGTTTTTGTTTTCTGTGGTATTCATGCAATTCTGTATTTGTGGCATGTGTTTTTGGAAATTCTGCAGCTACAAACTGGGTCACTGCATTTCCCCAACATGAAATGGAACTCTGAAGAGATGATTAAATGTGATTAAGCATCCAACCAATGTCACACATAAACCAATGTAAGCATAAAGTTACTACAAGGTTGGTCGTAAAAAAATAATCTAAAAAAAATAAAGCCCGTATTGCAAACCACCAATTGATCTGATTGCCTCTACTTTTCAAAGCACTCAGAGAATCTTTTTTGGAATATTGTGACAGACCAGATTTCTATTGCCCAAATGAAGAAGTAAAGTTAGTTAAAAAGGGAAAGCAAGAACAAAAAAACAATTTTTACTAAGAGCTTTCTGCAGGTGGTACTTTAACCTACAATTCCCTTTAAGGGACTCTTCACATTGTAAACAAAGCTGCTGATACTAGAAAAGAGCAAAACACAATCCATCTGACATGGCCAGGACAAAGGCACAGAATTACTTATAAGGCCCCATTTTATTTTATGGCTTTGAAAGATGTGTTTGGATCTGAACTAGGCACCTTTCTGCATTTGCTGTGTACAGATCAGGGGTGATTTGTTGACAGATGGAACTTGACTCTTGAGGTCAAACAGTAGGCCCAAAGGAGTTAAAAGGCAGCTCAGTTGATATTGACCCTGCTCCTGCCAGGACAGGGCAGATTTCTTCAGCTTTTTTTAGGCTGTAGACTGAACTGCTGGATCTAGTTCTAGACAGAAGCTGCATTAATCACATGAATCAGAAAGTCTCTGCCTATTTCCGCTGTCATCTCCTTTTTCTGTTTAGTTTCTGTCCCCTGCTTACTCCCTAAGTTCTTTGTTACCTTGGAAAACACATTTTCTGTTTCTGTGGGGCTTTTATGGTAGGAGGGACTGGTCCATGTGTACTTTTCAGCTTTTTTAAATCTGTATCTGCAAATGATAACCCTTGTGTGTACAGATTAGGTTAATTTCAAACTAATTCACTCACTTTATGATGATTTTCCTCCCAATAATATGACTGTGATATTGTATGTTATTTTTACAACTGAGTAAAAATAGCATATCACTCTACTACCATTAGAATGTCACAAATTTTTACATTAATTATACATCTGTTCTCATCTTTGCTTCATAAGCACTGCAAATGGTTTAGAAGAAAAGTAACATTTCCTTATGTAAACCACAAATTTCCTACAGAAATATCATAACAGTGTGGCACAGACATGCAACATGAATTATTTAGGCTATTAAAGTCTTATGCTACAGTCATGCATGTATTACTCTGCATAATAGAAATGGAGGGATAGATAAGTATTTCATTTTTAAAGCTTCAGACACAAAAATACACAAAAATCAAGTGGGTACTTAAAATTAAAAAAAAAAAAAAAGAAAAGGAACAGCAGAATTTACATGCAATGTATTTATTACTTTGTAAGATCCTTCAAATTTTATTACTTTCAAGAATGAATGGGGAAAAAAGATTCCTGTCACACAAATTTTCTTGTCTCCTTAAAACTCAGGAGGTTTTCATTTAACTTTAGGGGCTGCTCTAAGTAATTTATAGTGTATTCTGCAAGTAGTTTAAATTTTAATCTGACATTTCTCTTATAGAAGATCTTGGAAAATTTAGTCTTTAATATTCAGAAAAAGGTTCACCTGAACTCCATCCTCAGTACAGCATGATATTTAAATAATAGGACAAAGGCAATAATGTAATTTCTTATAATCAATTTTGCACAAAATCTCATTGGGCATTTCAAAAAGTTCACCTTTAAAGCGTGAAGAAATGTATTCCAATTCTATTTACAACTTATTCTCATATATGTAGGAGAAGAAAGAAGGTGAGCAAGAGGAGTTTATTTTAAAAAATCATCTTGTGGGTACAGTATGATTTCTGCCTGGTGCCAAAGGAAAAGGATCTTGCATCCATTGCTTTGCAACTTCCAACAGGCTGCCCATTTAAATATTAACCACATAAAGGCAGAAAAAGCAGTTAAGAAAAGGACTGACTTTGGAAAGCTGCACACAAAAAGATTAGAAAGTCACAAATGAATTCTACACAGCAGAATCACCAATATTGATCTAATGACTGGCCAGTATTTATGAAAACCAAGCTAAAAGCCAACAGTAAAAAGACTCCAGTCTGAAAAGACAAGCACAGGAGCAGTGCAAATGACATGAACAGAAAAAGAACTACCACAAAAGTGATCCAAGATGATACAGAAAAAAAGGGTTTTATCATTGAAAAGGACAAGCTCTTTCTCCAGCACTGTGCCAGAAGGTAGAGGTGATAATATCAAGTTTTATGCTATTGTGCTACAATTTATGACTAAATTCTAAACAAGGTAACCAATAACTCCAAAAGTAAATAGAGCAGATTGTGAGGGAATCTCTTTTCCCATACACAAGTCATGACATATCCATGACATGGCTGGAGCTACAAAACCTAACCATAAGAGATGGATTCCGAAGCTGGAATCCTGGTCCATGGACATCCATGGCAAAGCTCCCACTGACTCCAGTGATGGCAATTCCTCCTCCAATGTGCAGTATCACATTACTTAAGCTACAAACCCACTTCTTCTATATATACACTCTCCAAATTACATAGTAATTCTGACTAGGATTACTATGTAAACTATAACTTTTAAATTGCTCTTACAGTTACATCATTTTTCTGTCCTGTGATGCTCACAGCACATTAAAGGGAACAGTCTCAGCCAAAAAGATAGAAACTCCTCTCTGCAGGGAAAAGGTTTGTTGCTGCTCTTCCTCAAATTGAAGGAATCAAGTTAAAAGAGATATGGTGCAATTACAGCAGGCATTTGTGAGAATATTAATGGTAAAGAAGCCAAAGCAATACTCTGCTTTTGCACTTTTGCAAAGACTGCCTTTTGCATTTATCATTTTATATTTCACTATTTTCTTCACTTAATTACAAGTTTCCATGTTCCTAATGTGTGTATGCTAAATGTATACACTCTTTCATGAGTAGAATTAATCTATTTTAGTCATATGGACTTTTGAAAATACTGCCAGTCATTTCCTAGATATTATTATTCATCTAATTAACTCAGTCACTAAAGATAAACTGAATAAATTAGGAGTTATAGAAGTTTGAAGGATCAAATAAAGTACTGTACAAGGAGGAATTAAAAAGCAAAGCAAAAGGAAAAAAAAATTCTGCATGCATTTTCTAATGGAGAAGTTGAGGACCTAAAGGACGTTTGTTTTCTCAGAAACACAATATGTACCTATTTAATACATTTTGGATTCTTAAACAGGCCTTCAAGTCCACAAAGTTCATTTATTTGGATATAATGGATACAGCAGAGTGAGCACCAGGAGTGTTCTGCAAAGCTCCACAGAGGAAGAGCACAACACAGTAAGGGAATGGATCCTCATGCTTCCATATGTTACAGCGGGCATTTTAAACATGAACTTACTGGATTGTACATCTGATTGAACAACTGCTCAGCTTGCTACATTGCAAAGTTGGTAGGGAGTGAAGCACAGACAGGAAAAGAAGGAAAGATCCAGGAAAACAGCATTAGCTCAACAAAACCAGTGCATTTGCACAGAAGAACATGTTATTAAAAAAAATTCAAAAGAAAAAAAAGTAGAAATTTAAGATTCTAAACATTCCTTGGTGAAAGTGAGAGGCACTGGGGAAACATAAATGTTGACTTTGGCTCCTAAAAAAGAATAGCTGGAGTAAGAAACTTAAGGTTTGTGTTACTTTCCCTTTCTCAAGTTAAATAACCCATGAAATAAAGAGAGGTGTCCACTTTTGATGATACATTAAGTGCTGGTCTCAAGCAATGAATCACGAGAAGTGCTTTTGGCTGAGGCTGCAATTTATCACCAAAGCTTCAAAGACAGTAATAATAAAAGATTAATTAAATAGTATCATTAAATTTATTACTTTCCTTTCGTTTAATACAATACTGAATTTTCTATGCAGAATGACTTTCAAACAGTACAGCTTGGCAAACAGTACTTTAGCAACTGCAAATATGTCAGTAAGCAAGTAAATTTAAGATAATGAAAAACAACAAAAGGAGGAAATTCTGGAGTGGATAATAAAGATTATATATACACACATATATATAAAACACTTTGCTACCTATTTGATAATTCTGCTGTTCTTTCACAAGTAGCAATACAAAGTAAGTCAACAAAAATCTAGGGAATTTTGGGAAAAAAGCATTGACCATTCTCTGGTATTGAGAATTATTTCTTTTAAAATTTTTTATGTATTTCAATCCATAATATTTGTCACAAAATATCCAATAAGCATGTCTATATTTTAAAACATTACTTTTTATACCAAAATATAGCACAGTCACATAAATAATTACTTTGTACAAATATCCTCTTCATTGTTTTTGAAATGTGCCTACTGTGTGAAATCATGGGTTTAGAATCAGCATATTTCTTCTTGCCAAAATGTAAAAAAATCCAATTATGCAGTTCTAAAAAATATCTGGATCTAATCAGATCCAATAAAATCCATCTTTATTATCAATAAATGAATCCTATTGTCTCCAAAAAAACAGAAGGGAGGGAAAGCTGGGGAGGAGAAACTCCAGAAGTTGCTTTGGTGTTTTTTATTTACAATTTCAGTTTAGACTTGCCCCTTGTGCACACTTTCCTTCGACAGAGCACTTACCACCATTAGTGCTCATGCAAAACTAACTCCCAGCAAGCGTGCACAGAGTACTACCTACATATTTCTTAGTTTAACTTGCTAAAACTTATAAATCAACATTGAACTATAATTATTTTACAGCAGCATAACAAAGTACCTCCTCCATGATATTTTTAGAGAGGAGTACTGTGTAAAGCTACTTGGAATTTTTTCAGGTAGACAGCCCCTTGGAGTGGGTTTGGAAAGAGAAGCCAACTGCCAGATGCCTCTGCTCCAGCAGGGGTTGATGCTCACACGTGAGCACACCCACGGGACACGCGGGCTCATTTATGACTCTGCTGCTGTCCCCTCCTCCTCTGAGCCTGACATGTGCAAGAGTGACCCAGGTTTCTGTTTCACTCACTTTCCTGAGGAGTGAGAACACGGTGCAGGTATTTTTCTGGGGACCAATTACTTTTAACGCAGGGTATTTACAGGTTTGAACATAAAGTATTTCATTAAAGAAAATGTGAATTGAAAATGACTGTTTGGAGTCTACTGTCATTAACAGTCACTGTTTCTGTTCAATTAAGCATGCCCAGAAAGGAGGTTGTAACTGCATTTTATTGTGGAAATACCTGGTCTCATACAAATGGTGGGTGAATTTCCATTGGGGCTTTATGCTGCATTTATGATATAATAAAACTATTATGTTTTCAACTTTCATTCAATAATTTTTTGTATTTATACACAAGAAACATGCTCCCTTTTTATATAAAAGACATCCCAGACACTCTCTGACTTTTCTAAGTGCTTGTTTTTCCATTACTCTATGATGTGTTTAAATGTACAGTCATAAACAATTGACTTAGGATTTCAAGTCCTTCAAGAGGATTTTGATGAGGGGTTTTTAAGTGATCTGTGCTTCCAGGGCTCTTTTAACTATCTTTTTTTAATGAAGAAAAAAATACATTTCAGATGGTAATGAAGTATCTGTTGAAGTGGAGTGCAAAGCAAACAACCATTTATTCTAACAAACTAAAGCAAACTAAATTACTTCCCAGATAAACCTTTTTTTGGAGATTTTAATTCTACCATCAATAGCATTTTTAAGGTATCGGACATTTAAATTGTTTGTGTTTCCATTTGTATATGTTTATTGAAAAAAGCTTCCCTTCCTCTCAACTAAAGATCTAATGCAGGCACCTACTTGCACATATTCATTCTGAATTAAGACAGAATACAAGTATAAGGTTTACACGCTGGTATCCTTTATAATTTGCAATACCTTCTTCACAGGTCAGGCTATTGAAACAATGCTTAATCTGAGCAGGATACTACTCAACCTGGGTAAAAAGAGTGTCAGAATATTATGCTAACAGTGATAACATTCACAGAACAAATACTAATTACTAGAAAATGAAAAACTATACCAATATTAAAAAAAAAAAAAACAAAAACAACACTTGATGTACACTTAGTCATGAATTGCAGAAGGCAAACGTAATGCCTGACCCCATCAAATACGTAATGAGAACAATGAGAGCAGACATTACTACAACACAGAGAAAGGTCAAAGAAACAATGGTATCAAAACACTTGCAAATCATTTAAGCAAAATCTAGTTTATTGCAGCAATTTAAGTAAAACCATGTAATAAAATACAGGGTTTGTACGTTTTCCTTTAAATGCTTGCTTCCACTTCTTGCTGAAGAGAAATACTGAATTGCCAGCTGATATAAACTTTTGAATATTTTGCTTAATTATCACAAACATGTATTCACCAACAAAGCCAAAAATACATCAAAATAAAACCTAGCTATAGTTTTCATTTTAGAAGCTGATTTTAGTTGAATTTTAATTAGGAATTCCAGCATTTCTTAGACAGGCTTTTAATTTTTTTTCCTCATCCTGCAAACATTTCAGTTTACTTCTAAAAGTGGTGTTAATTCACACACATAAATTGCTGGTTTGATAGTTCCTTTCTGCCCTTTTTCTTCCATCTCAGTTCATCTATTTGTTGCAGCTTCTCAGAATTCCCTCATAGAGCTACTGAGGACAATTTCTGAGGCTCACTAGTGGCTTTGGTACAAACCTCTTGAGAAAAAGCAGTACTTGATGCAAGCATCAGCAAACAGCATAAGATGGGTAGATTCTAGATTTACTCCAGAAGAGTAAATAAGCTCATCATTTCAAAATGAAGGTATGGGATGCTGATTTTTGTTTTGCTGTTTGTTTGTTTGTTTTAAGATGGAACTTACCTTTTTCAACTGTGCTTCCAACTTACTACACTCTTCTTTCTTTTGTTCTATGGCTATTTCTAAAGACTTAAGTTTGGAGTCTCTTTTCAGCCCTGCTGATGCCAATGAAGATGCATGTTCTTTGAGATCGATTAAACTAGACTGGAAAACGACCAAGAGTAAAAAGTTAATTCCTAGTCACCAGGATACTAACTCATTGCCAACTTAGCAATCACTTGGATCCTGCTCCCCCTCCCCCAGAAAGAAGTGACTCAAAGATAAGCATTGATAGCAAAAGACACCATTTTGTGCATACAACTGGAACCACAGGAGCTGGCATGCACTGAAACAAACATTCATAGTACAGACAAGCTCATCATATTCTGGAGGTACAAACACACTGAAAACCATTTCTCCAACTGACAAACAAAAACAGGAGCAGCAATTGAATATTTGAGCCTAGTGGAAGCTTAGGTAAAGGACAAAGAGATAACGATGCACAACTATGTAAAAACTGAAGCAATATTTTACGTACAAATATGGACTGTGAAGAATGCTTAAGAAAACAGCAATTCTGAAGCTGAACACTGAAGTGACAGAATTTCAGTACTTGACACAACTCAAGAGTAATCCTATGCACTTTCTTTCATCATAATTACATAGATAGAAGAGCAGAGCTTATAATAAAAGACTGACCTCTTTTTCTGTCAGTTCAGCTTGTAAAGCATTAACCTTCTCCTTCAGGTCCTTGTTTTCTTTTTTATAAGATTCAATTTCTTCAAGTCTTTCCCTGTCATCTCGATCCCTTTGCTCCTTCAGACGCTCTATTATTCTTTCCTAACAAGGGAAAGAATTGCAAACCAGAAAAGTTGGAAATAATTTTAAGAAAAGACAGCATTAAGTTTGTTTGCATTATGTAGCACTTATTAAAAAAAACCTGCAGAAGCAGAGGATGATTGAGTTAATGGCATTAAAGTCAATGCAAGATTTCTCTAGATTTCAAAATCATAAGATCAAGTTTAAATATTTGATAAGAGTAACACAGTACAGGAAATTCATTAAAGATCTATCCTGATACAAGTATGTTTAGTTTTGTGATAGATGTGGAAAGATATTCACTTCAGTAATGTATTTCCTGTGTTCATAATTGATTGAAGTCTTGAAAACAAGTTCAAAACAAGCCATGAATAGTTTCCTCAGAGGACATAACCAGTTTACTCAGCTTCAATTTTGTTATTACTCTACAGTGCTTGCGATAAGATGCCAAAGTTCCAGATCTAATCAGCCGCTTGCTATCAGTAACTTAGAGTTTACACATATTATATTTTGAGATGTCAAAAAAACAGTTGTCCAAGACACAGAAAATGTACCCTAAACTAATTAAGAAACCCAAAGGAAGATTTTTCTCTAATTAATAGTAACCTTACAGGCATTTAAACTCAGCCATGTTTCTGCATATTTTGCTGATCTCCAATAACTATTTCAAGGTTTGCTGACAATCACCAGCCATTGATTGGATGATTAATTCAAAGGGTGAAATGGAAAAGCAAACACAGTAGTATGGTTTCGTTAAGCTCTGATTATGTTCTACAAAATCACATTTCATCAATATTTGGAGGATGCAAACACCAATCAGAGAGAAATACTCAGGGTAGAACGAAATAACCACTAGAAGTGCATTCCAATTGGGAGCAGGTCTTTAAGCAGAGTATCAGAAGAACCACTGGGATCACTGGATGGTGGCAGTCAGGGGGCATGGAAGTAACATAATTTAGGTCCCGCTCTTGGCTCAGGGCAATCCCAGGCTGGGCAGACAACAGACAGAGCAGCCCAGAGGAGGAGGACTTGGCTGTGTACAGTGACAAAAAGCTCAACATGACTCAGCCAGGAGCACTCAGAGCGCAGAGCAGCGCCTGTGTTCCTGGGCTGCATCCAAAGCAGCGTGGCCAGCAGGGCGGGGAGGTGGCTCTGCCCCCCTGCCCTGCTGACACCCAGCTGGGGGAGAACTGCTCCAGCTCTGGGGCCCCACACAAGGACACAGAGGTGAAACAACCTGGTCTAATGGAAGGTGTCCCCGCCCACAGCAAGGGGGTTGGAACTAGGTGATGATCTTTAACATCCTTCCAATCTAAACTCATGACACTAAATAACTTCAGGTTTAATCCTAATAACAAACAATGTAAATTCTTAATAGTTTGAACATTAATACTAAAGACGCCAGCCTCCATAAAGTAGAATAGTTTAAAAATCAAAACATTCAGATTCCACCTGGTTATAGTCAGAATTAATTTTTTACCAATTCCTTCTTGAAGATTTATTTACCCAAATGATTTTTTCATCTACAACAAATTAAACATAACACTATTTCATCTTTTTAATGAACAGTGTATTTTGTTCTCAGTCAATCACAAAAGAAGACTAATTTATCTGTCAGCTGCATAAGGCTAAATGTCAAAAGCGTGTTAAAAGGCCCTAATAAACCATGTTTTGCTTGATTAACAGCTAACTTGCAGAAATCCCAACAATGTGTTCTTGTTTCAGTCTTGTTTGCATTGGGCAGCTTTCCTTATGCACTAATCTGGGACCTCACAGGTCTAATCTATTTGCACTTTATCACAGAAGCAGGAACTGAATTGCCCCAGCATATAGCTCCATTATCAGACATACTCCATTGCTTATCTGCTGTATGCTGCTACAGTAGGACCAACTTTATAAATATCAGCTTCATGAAAGCAACCTCTTGAGCTGCTTTGGGCCAGTCCAAGAGCTGAGATATTCTTTGAAAAGTTTCTTGTTATAACATCAAGGCAGCTGATAGCACTTTTGCACAGTCTGATTTTCAAACCTTTTTTTCTTTTTTAATTGCAATATAATCCTTATTATTGCTGCCACAAATTTTCAGTGCTTAGAGGCTCTGAAATTAGAGATAAATAGTTGAATGAATGTTTTGCAGCTTAGTTCCAAAATGAACTCAAATGCAACTGAAGTTGATTTGTTTCTGCTTCCTGACAAGAGGAAAAATCACACCAGCAATATCATCAGAAAAAGTATAAGATTAAAAGAGAGAAAATTTGACATGGTTTTATTATGTCTACATCAATTTCTCATTTAGTGTTCCCAAGATACCTAACCACTAAATACAAAAGAAAATCAAGAGACAGATACTTGGAAAAATCTATTTCCATAAAGAATAAGGAGACACATTTTCTAATTCAGAGCCAAAATCTTAATCTGTGTATTTTAAAGAAAATTGCAGGAACACATTTGAGTTTTGGACTTTAAAAACAGCTTTATAATTCATTAATATCATATGATCATGTTTTAATTTGTTCTTTTCTTCCTGTAGATGCTAAGAAAAGCACTTCTATCAGATTCCAGTAAATTGTGGTTAGCTAAACTTGTATGAATAAATTTTGTTTCTATTTAAAAAGAGCTTCCCATGACAGTCCTGAAGTATTTTATTCATTATTTTTTAATTAAAATTCTAAAAACTATTGAATGGACAAAGAATTAATTTAATGCAAAAAACAGCCTAATCTCAGAGTACAAACACAAAATTATATAGTTGAAAATGTCTAATACAATGTCTAGAAAGAAAAAGCATGCAAACAAAACTGAAACCAGGTATTCTTAAATGAAAGCATCATCCTTTCTTGACAGCATTACATGTTGAATTGATAAAAGCACTTACATTGATGCACTTGCTAATAAACAACTCACTAAGGGGTCCCGCGTTGTCCCACTCGGACAAACCTCTATCCCAGATTTCTAGCACTATTCCCAATGGAAATATTTAGTGACTACTGATAAAGTCTGTAGGTCAGAAGAATGCTGCTGCATAAGAAATTTACTGAGAGCAGTCAGGAGGAATTGGGAAGCTGGACACAGAAAGGAATGAGGCACATGTGTAAACAGACACTGTCAAAGTATTTAGCTGCCAGAAGACAGAAGAAAGCCAGGTGTAATTGTCCATTTGGAATTTCTACAGGATGGCAACTGGCTTCTTTCAGTGTGTAACTTCATCCCAGAAATCAGCCCTGACTTCAAAAGATCAGCCCTTCCTTGTGTGGCCTTCAAGGGACTTACAATGGAAAAGAAATTGAGGGTGATTTCCCTGTACAACAATCAAAATCCTACAGAGAGATGCATTTACCTTGGAAACTTTCTCCTCATTGTGGCTCATGCTCTCAGATCAAGCACCCCATTGTTCAAAGCTAATCTCAATCCTAATTCGGCAGTGGTGCTTGCCTCCTACTCCTATGCAAGTCACTCTGCTTCCCAAAGGAGTGTTTTAAAAAACCCTCAGCTGCCTCTATGGGCATTCTGGGAAAGTGACTAATCCAGAAAAGATAGTTTACAAGGAGAGAAAACAGATTAAAAAGTACTTTCTGTTATTTTTTTATTAACATACTGTGAAATTGATGAACACTGTGTCCCGATTAGCAGTGAAAGATTACAGAAATGTATAATTTTTTTGCATAAATAAATGCTTATCCACATGGCTCAATACCAATAAGAACTTTTTTCACTGTTGTTGACCAAGCAAATGCAAGAAAATCAATTAAACACACAAGAAATAAAACATCTGACATGAACATTGTATGTGTCAGTGCCAACACCACAGCAGCATTTTCGAGTCATATGCAGTCATAAGTACCTTCATAGGATTACACACATATTACTTTACTGTTCACATTTGAGTAGTATATATTAAGATCTGTGAGCTGAAAAACGTGGGTATTTGTACTAATTTTTTTGGCATATAAATTCACTTGCATTACCTCGTATTCAAAGTGAACTGAAAGAAGAAACCTGACCTCACTGAAACTGGTAGGAATTTTGCCACTAATTTAAACAGTCCAGATTTATCCCTTCTCCTAGGTATTTTCAAATTAAAGGCATAGACTTTGTAAAGGAAAAAAAAAGGAATGCTCAATATTTTTTTTTAATGAAACAGTTTCCCTTAAAAATGAAGTATAGGAAGCCAATAGCGTTCACAGCAAGCCAAGGTAACAGTTGGCACAGCCAACTGTTAATGGGAAAAATAACAGGATAATCAAGATCACAAAGACAGAAAAATGCCCAAAATTCTACCTTCTTAAAGTCAGGCGTCCAATGCCTTTCAGTTCTTTCAGGGAATAACCACTCACCCCATTGACTAAGGCAAAATCTTCCCATATCCAGGGCCATTTTCTCCATAAGCATTCAAAGGGCATCACTCCCTCCCCTCCAAGTTCTGTGTCAGTTCATCCCCTCACAGTCACTCCTGCTCATCCTACCACAACAGGGCCACCTGCTTCCCTGACAAGGCCCCCAGCCTTTGGGAGAGCTGTCAGGCCAACTCAGAAGCACATTTTCTGCACACGCTTCACCCACAAGAGCAGCACATAAAGGTTTCCAAGAGAAAACTTTACCTTTTCTGATAGGGCTTCCTCTAAGGTTGCCAGTGCTGTGTCTGTATTACTGGAATCTGTCTGCAGTGACTTCACTCTGTCTTTCAGATTAGTTAGTTGTTTGTCTTTGTCCCTAAGTTGCTCCTGTAGATTTTCAATCTGTGAATAAAAACATTACAATAATCATCAACCTTGTCATAACATTCCAAGAGGGACCTGGGTGCTGAGTGCCTACACATCACACATATGATACACAAGCCTCATTATACTGCCAGGTGTGTAACTGCTATATCATCAACAGTTTTAAACTTCAGTTCTTTCTATTTTGTTTTCTTTTGCTGAAGAAGTATAATTTTCCAATAAAGTAAAGGAAAAATCTCACTGCAGTTAGGTATTTTATTATTTAAATATTTTCTGATATTAATCACTCCAGTTTAAGGTACTGCATTATCTCAGTAATTCAAAGTATGTCTGGAATTACCCCTTTAGTATATTCTAGTTCAATAAGAAGGACCAAAAAAGGGTGAGGCAAACCAATTTGAGTGAGCCTTAAAATGAGGAAGAAGAAAGATTATAACCTGCCTATCTAAAAATCTCTTCTTCCACGATGCCTTGCTGTAAGGAAAACTAAGCTGGGCAGAGATCAGGATCTTTGTTCTTCAAAAGGCCAAACCCACAAACAACCAAACAAAAAATCTCAAGGGGCACCACTTCCATTCACTTTCTTCACCTCTGTGAATATTTCAAGCATGTCACTCTATTTTGGAAATTTAACTTAAAAAAACTTATATAAAACTGGTTCCTCATCTAGAAAGTATTTGAACATATTGCTCAAGTACCTATAGGCACACTGTCTTGATTTATAGTGGTTAATTCAGGAAGAGTTAAATCACAAAGGTTTTGCACAAGAAGTTGTCCACAAAGCAATGTGGAAGCAAATGTGAATAAAAGCACTCAGCTGCTGATTGTGATGGCAATCCCCTTCTGTGGCTGGAAGGCACTGTGACCTCTGGGCCGAACACAGGGGGGTGTGTTGTGTCAGATGTGTAAAATTTCATTAATTGTCTGTTGGAAGAATTCCCCTCCCTCCATCCTGCATTCTCAGTGCCATTCATTATTATGCACCAACTGGCAAAAACCCAAGATTTGTTACTTAAGACTTCGTACAAACAAATAGTAACAAGAAAATTAACTGGTCTGTTATTTTAGTATGCCACTTCAGATAATATAAGAAAATATGCCAAAATCCATGAAGTATCATTTGCTCAAAACTGGTTTTAAATACGTTGTCAACATTAGACAAATTATTACTGTCAACAGATATTCAAACTCTTACTTTCATCAGTGATTTTTTTCAGTTTGGATCACGTTCTCTTGCTACTGAAATGAACTCAGTTTTCCTGTTCATTTTATAATGATTTCTTTTTTCACATAGCCAATATCTTTCCATTTAAAGAAACTTAGAGTTTAAGAGAAGCAGAAGTTTTACAGTTAAAAGATTTTAAAGATTCCTTTACAAATCTGAAGTTGAATTCAATGCATGTGCAGCTCTGCAGAAATCAACAGTTACATCAATAAAAATTTGATCTCCATATGCAAGAACATACCACCATAATCAAATACACTTTAATTTGGGGCACAGCTAGGTAAAAATTCTCCTCCTACTACATTATACAAGTGTGGGAGAAAAAATCCTGAAGTTTTGACATCATATATATCTACAATTAACAAGTCATAAAATCCACAGTACAGCTGCGTGCACTGCATAAAGTGTGTTTCCAAAAAATTAAATTTTAAAAGAATTTAAATAAAAATTAAAACAAAATTTGAAAGTAAATTTGAAGGAGCACAATTCAAATAGAAATTCTTTATAGTATGTCAAGCACAAGTGCACAAGTCTTGTACCTTTTTTTCTTTTTCCGTTTTTTTTTTTTTTAATATATACATCGCTTGGTGTATCAGATTACTGCAATGAGCCAAAGATTCCACTTGCTGTGTAAACTATAAAATACTAAGGAATATATAGAAAGGTCTTTTTGGGAAGACCTGACATAGAATAGCTTACTCTTGTGAATGACCTCTTGCAATATTTTTCTTCGTGTGTATATTTTATACAGATACAGAAACATGATACACGTGTTAATGAGTTAAGAACTTTTTATTTTATGGCATGTGTATTAGTCACATCTAAAATTACATTAACTGGCATTCAGAGGACTGCACACTATGTTTCTTTCTTTACTTCATCCAAGTATTAATGATTCCAACAACTGCCTCATGACACCCTGTGGAATACTTAAGCAATTGCACATTTCAGCTTCACCAAAACAAATTCTCAAGTAAAAGGGAAATAAAACAGCAGAGTGAATATTGATTACATGTTCTTTGAAACAAAGTTAAGATCTGCTCCTTTACTATCATCAGCTTGACCTACCAATTCTAGGCACCCTAAATTAAAGTACTTATTTCCTATGCACAGTGCTTATCTGAATTCCACAGCATTTACACGATTTCCTTCCTCTTAAAACTAATTGAAAATATGAGCCAACCCTTAACCAAGAAAACATGTTCTAAAATTATTCAGCATTTACAAAATTCTTTCCTCAGAGGTAAAAAAGAACAGGCAGCAAATTAAAAACATCCCCATTGAATCACAACTGCTTTAAAATAAGTCACTCAATACATACTCCATAGATAAAATAAGAGGAAAGGATCTAATTATTTTTCTATTTGTGCTATATAAACCTGAAGGAAATACTTTGATGGTAACAGGACCACACTGGGGTATGCTAAAGCAGAATCAGTACCACAGAGTATTTGTTCTTTGGGATGGGCACAGGATTAGCCAAGACCTACTGATGCAGACAAGACTTTATGACCAGTTAATCACAGAGTTCACTCAGCAAGATTACAGGAGACAAAGAGATTGAGAGGTCTCACATGCTAAAATCTTGGAACACAAGATATGATTTAGTTCTTCCTGTGATTTTTAAATCCAGAAACAACAAACCCTCTGGTAACCTCTGTCATTCTCTAACACACAAATGTATTTGGGTACAAGCATTTATGTAAGAATACAATTCTCTTACTGAATAATGACTTTTGAGCATGCCTGAATTCAGTTTGTGGCAGAGACTGTCAAGACCATCTTAATCGTCAAGTTCTTATTTTTTCTGATAGGTAGTTAGTTACTGTGAAGTTTTGTCAACATCTATTTCTTACCCCTGTAAACTGCTATTCCCTGTGCCAGGATGAAAAGAAAGTGCTCTATTCTTTCTGCATTTCAGAAAGTGTGTATATTCCCAGGGCTTAACCCAGACTTTATTCCTTCTTTAAAACAATACCCTTACAGATAAATGTCTTTCCTATGAGGCATCCTGTCAATAAACCTCAAGTGCTAATCTTGTCACCCTTTGGCGACAGTCTCAGAAATGCTTATTAAATACTCAAGGGATTAAATTAAATCTCACCCCCAGACAGGCTTTAAAAGTCTCCAGTAACCCAAGTTCTCAAAAGAAAACTCCTTTCATTGTCAAAATTAAGGTACTGTACTATGAAACTTGCAAGAAAATTATACAATCAAAGAAAATGTTCCATGCTGTAACAATTTGCCTTCAGAGATATGCATTAAAGTAAAAGAGAATTTAAGAACATGGAAGAGAGACATTATCTAAGACTTCTTGGTCCCAGCTAATGAAACCATAAAGCCATATATTTAAACTTAGCAGCAACTATTTCCCTCTCTTCTCTCTGTTTGAGTTTTAAATAGCTCAGACAATAAGTATTTTGTAACAATGGGGTTTTTCACTCCAAAAGTTCATTTTGCTCTATTCTAAATTTCTATAGGCAGAAGTCTTCAAGATTTGTTTCATATTGAAGCACAGACTATGTCAATTCCAGTGAAGTAAATCAATAACATAAGTTTAGTTTTATATAAATGTAAAATTGAAACCAAGGAGAGAAAACAGAACTTTTGTATTTATCATTTCTATTAATTACAAAAAAATCTTTGTATTTTAGGAAATTAAATCCTACTAAACAATTTTCCAAGTACTGTTACAATCTACTTTAAACAAGACAAAGTGATTTCATAAGCAGCATTCATCCAACATGAGCATTATCTATGACTACTTTAAAACTTAGTATTCATTTTCAGACTTTAGCTTCTGCCTTAGAGCCATAGATAGCAAAAGACAAAAGTAATGTAACTATTAATCAAAACAGAAAAAAACAGGCTTGATTCAAACATAAAACCAAATGGCTACTTACACATAATTTATTTTTATTAGTAAGACTCAAGGTAAATGTTCTGGCTCATATGGTCCTTTTCAGAAACATCTCAGGATGTCCCAGAACATGAAACCAGCTTTAGTAGTGACTCAGCAAAATAGATGTCTACAGACATCCCAACATCTCCTTCTGGTGTCTGTGAATGTGTGCATGTTTAATTTGTAATCAAACAACCAAAAAAACTGGAATTACGTCACCATGGCTGTAAAAATATTACTATCTTAGTAATAGTATATTTAAAAATCCAATACGGTTTGAACTTTACCTAAAGAGAAAATGCATATACCAAATAATTTCAGAGAGAGGAAAAAATATATAAAAAGAAGAAAGAATCTATGAACTGTTGATCAGTAGGGGAAAATGTATGCCATTTATTGGGATATGCAGTAATATTCTCTGGTTAGTACTTATTATATGTGACTTTTAAAAATTTGTCTTTATTCCATGATTAGAAACATCAATCTACTGTCTCATGTACACATAGAAACTGGGAGCATCCTATTGCATCAATAAATAGAAGCAAATGCAACTAAAATTGGAGATCAAAAGTGATAACTATCTTTTCCTATTCTTCTTCCAAAACAAGCATGTATGTTTTATTGTGCAGTCACTGAAGGAAATAATTCATCCACTTTTACTTACTGTAAGACTCTAGATCCTTCCATAATACAGGATTCAAAGCACAGGTACAGGAAGGATTCAGAGGAATCAACAAGCATTAGGAAAAAAGAGGTGTGCGCTGAGTTTTCCTACAGGGAGCAGAAGCAAACTCCCCCAGGGCTGCTTAGGGAAGAGCTCTGCCCTCAAGTCAGCTGATGCTTTTACAGGGCTATAAAAGCAGGTCAGCGGGCAAAGCAGCCAAGAGAGGA